GTTCAGGATGCATTGGACAAGGTTAAATTAATTCAGGAGCAGCTTCACGTGGCACAATCTAGAAAAAAGAGTTAGGACAACAGGAAGGTCTGTAGTGTTGTTTACATGGTTGGGAGAAGGTCCTACTGAAGGTTTGACCCTTGAAGGGTGTGGAGCCGGTGGCCATTTTGGATCGGTAGGTTCCGAAGTTGAGATAAAAGAACATAACTTCAGTGAAGGTAAAGTGGAGAGGTCAGCCAGCAAAAGAGGCTACTTGGGAGAGCGAGCAGGAGATGCGGAGCATATATCCACACCTATTTGATGCTTTAGGTATGTTTCTAGACCCGTTCGAGGATGAACGTTTGTTTAAAAGAGGGAGGATGTAACGACCTGGCTAGTTGTTTCGAGATTTGTAGCCCTTTTTCCCCATTTACTGCTCCTTATAGCTGTTATATGACTTACAAGGTTAGTTGGTTCAGGTCCGGAGAGATTTCGGAATGAATTGAGACACTTAGTCTCATAATTGAAAGCTTAAGTTAGAAAGATGATAGGATGTTGACTTATGCGTAAATGACACCGGATTTGAATTTTTATGGTTCCGTCAGCTCCATTGGGTGATTTTGGACTTAGGAGCGTGTTCGGATTGTGGTTTGGAGGTATGTAGTAGAATTAGGCTTGAAATGGAGAAAGTTAAATTTTTGGGAAGTTTAACCTGGAGTGGACTTTTTGATATTGGGGTTGGATTGGGATTCCGGAAGTTGGAGTAGGTCCACATTATCATTTGTGACTTATGTGCAAAATTTGAGATCAATCGGACATGATTTGATAGGTTTCGGCATCATTTGTAGAATTTAGAAACTTCAAAGATCATTAGGCTTGAGTCTATGTGAGAATCGTGTTTTTGGTTTTGTTTGAGGTGGTTTGAGGGTTCAACTAAGTCCATATGATGTTTTAAGACTTGTTGGTATATTTGTTTGAGGTCCCGGTGGACTTGAGTTGATTTCGGGTGGTTAACGGATCAAGTTTTGAAGTTGAAGAATTGCTGAAGAATTTCAACTACTGGTGTAATCGCACCTGAGGAGTGGGCACCACAGATGCGAGCCCGCAGAAGCGGGAAGGGAGCCGCAAAATCGAGCAAGGAAAAGGTGAGCAGAGGTCACAGGTGCGAAGATTCTCCTGCACCTGCGTGGTCGCAGAAGCAGCGTGATGGGCGCAGAAGAGGATAAGGGCACAGATGCGATAGGATGTTCCGCACCTACGATTGCGCAGATGCGGTTCAAGGCTCACAGAAGCAGAGACAACAGGGTAAGTGATGTCCACAAAAGTGGAGGAATTACAGCAGAAGTGGGTCCATAGGTGCGGATAAGTGGCTGCAGGTGCGAAAAGCCTGGGCAGAAGATAAATGTTAGGGTTCGAGGGTTTTATCATTTCTTGACTTTGCAAACTCGGAATTGAGAGATTTTTGGGAGGGATTTCGAAGGGATTCTTGAGGTAAGTCAATTGTGGTAAAATTTCTTCAATAATCATGCTTACCCATTGATTTTCCCACCTAGTTGGTGTATTTTTTAGGTGTAATTTGGGGATTTGAGGCTAGGAATTTGGAGAGTTAATTTTGGGAATTTGAGTGGCGATTTTGTGTCGGATTTTAATAAATTTGGTATGACTAGATTTGTGGTTGAATAGGCTATCGAGTTTTGTAATTTTTGTTGGGTTCCGAGACGTGAGCCCGGGGGCAGGTTTTGAGACTATTTCGGATTTTTTAATAAAACTTCGTATTTTTCTTATGGAATTGATTCCTTAGCCTATGTTGATTGTATTGTATTGTTTATGGCTAGATTCGAGACGTTCGGAGGCTGATTTTTGAGGTAAAGGTGTATTGGAGGGATTTTGCTCGGATTGAGGTAAGTAATAGTTCTAAATCCGGTTCTGAGGGTATCAAACCCCGAATTTTGTGTTGTGTGATTAGTTTCGAGGTAACGCACATGCTGGGTGACGGGTTTGTGGGCATGCACCGTAGGAATTGGGACTTAGTTCATTCCATGGAAACTGTGAAGTTGAATAACTTGTTGCTAGCTATATATTCTCCATGTGTTATAGAAACTTAATTGCAAATCAAGCTAGAAATCATGTTTAGGCTATATGTTGGTACTGTTCGGACCCACAGGGGCCGTGTACATGTTGATACATGTTGTTTGTTGTTTGCACTCAATCTCAGATTCTACTTGCATATCATATCTCAGTCTCTATTATTCCTTGTTAATACATCATATTATTGTTGCTTGGGCTGATTTTCAGGACTTATGAGAGCTCGAGAGACTGGAGAGGTTGGTGACTGAGTTACGGCCTAAGTGCCGAGCTGTGTGCGATATGTATATATGTGGATCGGGTTGCACCCCTCAGTGAGCCTCGGGATTNTATCTCAGTCTCTATTATTCCTTGTTAATACATCATATTATTGTTGCTTGGGCTGATTTTCAGGACTTATGAGAGCTCGAGAGACTGGAGAGGTTGGTGACTGAGTTACGGCCTAAGTGCCGAGCTGTGTGCGATATGTATATATGTGGATCGGGTTGCATCCCACTGCGAGCCTTAGGGATGTATATGTATGGATCGGGTTGCGCACCGCAACGAGCCTTATAGTTGTATATATATTGATGGGATCGGACTGCATATCGCAGCGATATAGCGCTTGGGCTGAAGGAACCCTTCTGGAGTCTGTACACCCCCAGTGAGCGCAGATACCTATTGAGTATGATTGTTAAGTGCCGAGTGCCGAGTGTCGAGTACCGAGTGTTGAGATATTGAGAAAAACTGAGTGATTGTTGCTTTGATAGGATGCTTTTGATGGCATTATTATTGCACTAAGCTACCATATATCACCGTGTGGAAGTTTCTTGAAAGATGTTATATTCAGTTTTACTCGAATTTGATATGAGATAGCTAATTTAGCCTAAATTGTCGAAATTGAAAGGATGCATATTTTTCCTATGTTGAAATTACTGAAATTGAACAATAATTGCAGAGCTCGTCACTATTTTCAGTTCTTTATTTAGTCTTATTACTTACTGAGTTGGTTGTACTCATGTTATACCCTGCACTTCGTGTATAGATCCAGACATTTCTGGATACGGTGGGTGTTGATATTTCGCACAATTGATCGTTGGAGACTTCGAGGTAGCTGTCTGGCGTTCGCAGTCCTTGTTTCTCCTTGCTTATCTTTTCTTTTGTTCACTACAGCATTTTAGGCCTACAACCATACTAATTATAAAACACGCTTGAAAAGTGTTGCCAAAAATATCTATAGATACACTTTATAAGTGTGGCCTATGATTGGAGTCTTCGGCCACGATTTTTAAAGCCACCCTTAAAAAGCGTGCTCTTAAAATATAAAGACCACACTTTTTAATGTTGCTAATACACAAATTATATTGCAACGCTTATTAATCATAATGCAACGTTTTTGAAGAGTTGTTATCTTATATTAAACTAATTAATAATATTGTAACTCTTTATAAGCGTAGTCTAAAAATATCCTGTATAAATTTCGCTCAAAATTTCGCTCCAAATATTACAATTAATGAAAATATTTCCCCCCAAAATACAAGACAATGAAATAATCAACCAAATAATACTACTGGGAAAACTTTCCCCAATTCTTTTATCTCTCCACTTCACCTTCACTGCGTCCTTTAACCTAATTTATTCCTATGCATTCATTATTGTACCTTCTTCCAGATAACTCTCACCCATAGCAAATCCCCATCTCTTTCTCTATTGGTAAGTATTTTTTTTTGCTCAAAATGTTTTTATTTTTTCCAATTTTAGTTTTGTTCTTATGCTTTAAGATTCAATTTTTCTAGTTTCTTACTAATGGGGATGAAAAAATAATCTTCTATTGTGTACAATATTTGGGTATCTTGGTACAATCTTTGTTTTATACTTAAAGTTTTGAACTTTTTCTAATTTCAGATTCTTGGGCTAAAAAGAAGTAATTTTATTTTGTTTAATTTTTGGGTATCAAAGTTTTAAATTCTTTACTAATTTCAAATTCTTTGGCTGAAATAAAAGTAATATTTTTTGTTTAATTTTTGATATTTTTGTATAGTCTTCAATCTCATAGTTAAAGCTTTAGTTTGTCTAGCTTCTTATCAATGGAGTTGATAGAAGTAATATGTTTTTGTATAATTACAAAGCTTTATATAGTCTTTATTTTATGCTCAAAATTTTACTGTTTTTCAATTTCGGATTATTGGGCTTACATAAGTGATTTTTTGTTTAATTTTTGGCTATAAAAGTTTTCAATTTTATCTTAATTTCATATTCTTGAGTTGAAAATAAGTATTATCATTTGTGTTGCAGGTTGGTTTCTTTTGCTCTCAAAATTTCCTTTATCGTTTGGGAGTAGTTATCAAAACCCTCTTCCCCAAAGGCTATATTATTGTTTATGCACAACTGTTTCAATTGTTATCAAAACCCTCTTCCTCAGAGCTATAGGTTGGTTTCTTTTTCTCTCAAAATTTCCTTCTTCCTATTGGGGAAAGTAGTCACTCTTTGGGAGTTATGATGGTTATTGAGTCTTGATTTTCTATTTTTATTAGTTGTCTTGTATATTAACTTCATCACTAGTCCAATTTTATCTTATTTTTGTGGTGTGTTGATAATTGAAGTGTAGGTTAATTTCATCACATAAAAATTGTCAAATTATGTTGAATTCTCACAATATTCAATGTAATGTGTGTGTTGAATGAATACACCCAAATTGTCTTGTAGATGTTGATTAACAATCTTTGTTTCATCAATCCACCCGATTCTTGTGTTTTTGTAACAATGCCAAAAGGTAACTCCTGCAATTGAACAATTCTATTGAGTAGATTACTTGAAATTTTTTGCCCGTGTGCAAGTGTCTTTGAACGAGCTGATAGTGCCAATTTGTTGAGTTTTGGGGTCTCCAGAGCATTAATAAGTTGTCTATTATGATTTGAAATTTGAGGCTCCTTAGTTGATGTTATAACAGCAGAATGTTTGGCATTATGAATCTGCACATTTGCAGCGCCAACTGAGGCAGTTTTGGGAACAAAAGCTGGCGCATTGTAGTTGAGTTTGCTTTTAACACTTGAGTTTGGTGATATTCTGGTTTTGGTACATTTGGTGAACCAGCTGAATGCAGTGATTCCCCATTACATTCTTCATCTTCAGTAGCATTGAAATCACTGAAATCGTCTTCTTCATCTTCTTCAACTTAGTCAGCCCAAGTTTTAAGTCTTGGCAAAAGTCTATCTATAACTTGATTCTTCTGTCGACTTGTAAATTGTCTTGTTCCATGTATGCACTAGTATATATTTGTATGCATGCACACACATATACTAGCACGATCAAAATTAAAGTCAGATTGCCTAAATGGATCAGTGAGGAGTATTAGAATCAGCCGCACAAATAAAATCTCATGGAAGGCTTCTCATTAAATAATAAATAGTTGAATGGCAACCTTATCAGAGTCTCCTTTTATTTTTAAGATCTCTGTCCCAGAAATGAATGACGTACTTTTGACCTGTTAACTTATATCTGCTCTAAGTATGTTTTAGTCTTATCTGTGAACTCTAGCATTTAACAAGTTTTCAACATTAAAGTTTTCACTAATGCAGATATGTTGCTTCACAGTTGGCTTCTAACAGCGTTGTTAATATACTGAACCAAATCACTAAGTCTATTGTTAGGAACATATTGCTCATTGATTTTATTTGGACTTTTGATGTGTTGAGGATTTATTTTGCAATAATTTATGCAGCTTGATTCGATTGGTGTCAAAGTTCTTAAATATGTCTAATTTCTTAAATATTTACTTTCTCATATACTGTTATATATTCTTACTAGTTGTTAGGCTAAAGTAATTTATTTTTTTTGCATGTAGGATGAATCAAGCGGCAGCTCTTAAGAGAAAAGTTTCGAATCCAAACAATGCTCAAAGTTCAATGAAAAATATAGGTTTCGATTTCCAATACCGATCAAGTGCCGAACTAGCCAAAAAAATTCAGATTAAGAGAGAAAAGCTTGTAAGTGATCGCAACGATAAAGCTGCTAAAGAGCAGGCATTACTTGGAGTTAAAAGGAAGAATTGCATGTCTGCAACATTAGAAGGACAAAGTAGACAGAGGTTAACTCAATTCGATGTGTCAGTTCAAAAGTTAGGAAGAAATAGATTACCGGTGTACAAATCAATCCAATCGTCTTCAAGGGAAGATCTGAACACTTCACATAATATTGCAAGTAAAGGACAAATTAAACAAAGGTCAATTCAATTGGAGGATCCCATTCAAAAGCAAAGAATGAGCAAATTACTTGTGCCCACATCCATGATCCAATCATCTGCAAAGGTAGATCCTAACACATTACATATGATTAGAAGAACACAAGGTGATGGAGAGAAACAAATTTATATTCAGGAGCTACAAAATTGCAAAAATTTAAAGATAAACTCAGTCCTACCGTCGACGAGTGTTAATCAATTTCTTAAAAAATATGGGATACAAGTTGGTGGTGAAAAACATCCTGATAATCACCCAAAAAATGAAATGAGATTTATGTCCTCTCCTATTATTGATGAGCGTGAAATAGAATTGGATAATTTTGCTGCACAAGATGAAGTTGGTGATGATGAATTTATTGGAGATGAGGATATGAACATCGATAGTGCTGCAAGTGGTATGTCTTAAACCTTATAATTATTTTACATAATTTGATTTTTTCTTCTTATGTCATGCTTGTTATATCAATCTAGGGACATCAGAGAAGAAAAGAGTTCGAGGTAAGCAACATGTAAGAATATTCATGCAAGAAGTTTCGAAAAAAGAGAGGAGGTGACATTTGATAAAGGACAAGCAGTTGGACCAACTGACAAGAGAGTGTCTGATTTGACCAACTTTTTAGTAACAATTGCAAGGAATCCAAGATTTATCCCCTTGGTGCATACCAGTTGGCATGCTGTGTCAAAGGATATTAAGCAACGAATGTTGGAATATGTCATTGTAAGAATAATTANCCAATGAGATACCTGAAGTTCAATTCCGTCAATTGATTGAGTATTGGGATGATGAAGATGTCCAGGAAAGATTAAACCGTGCATTCATATATTTTATACCTATTGGTAGTATCACTACAAGAAATTGGTTTTTTTGTGGCGACCTTCAGTAGCGACCACTTCAGTTGCCACTATTGGTATGGTTTTAGCGGCGACTCATAAATGTCGCCACAAATAGTGAAAGCTTTAATAGCGACAACTGTAGCCGTTACAAAAAGTAAATTTTTAGTGGCGACTTTATTAAAGTCGCTTCTAATTTACATTAATTCTTTAATTCCTCCTAAAATAAAAATTTTATATGTAGCGGCCAATAAAAAGTTGCCACAAAAGGTCTATTGAGGCTAATTCTTTCATCGTAAAATTAGAAAACTATAATTTTAAGTAAATGCTTCCTGCCTTTTTTTATTTCTCTCATTTACCCAAATCGTTCATCTCTTTCTGCCAAAACCCTAGAACTCTGATGGCCATTTAAAACCCTCCATTTTCCCAAATCCCTTCACCACCTTCTTCTGAAATTCTTATTGGTTTCCATGAGAGCCATTAAGAGCCCACCTTCTCTCTATATAGCTCGAATCGTTGATGTTGAAGAAGATTCCGAGTTGAGATATGGAATAGAAGATGGAAGCAATCTATTTGTCTTTGGAGAGGAACTTACGTATCTTCAGTGCGCCTAGAACTTAGGTATTTTCCTCATTTCCTCTAAGTTTGCAACTTGGAGATTTTCTTTTTGGTATTTTACTTTCTAGTTTATTTCTCAACGTTCTTCCTTATTTATGCCTGTATTAATTCAGATTTTTAGAGTGTGTTAGGAAACTTTTGTTGCTGAAACTTGATATTTAATACTGTATATTTTGTTTGGATTTTTTTCTCAAATCTGGTAAAATTGTATTATTGAACAGAGAAGTTGGATTTCTTTGAAGATTCTTGGATTCTGCTCTTGAGTTTTAGGGTTAATGTCAATTTTAGTTTTTGATTTGGATGAGCATATGAAATTGTGGAATGGATAGGATGATGACAGATCTAGTGATGGGTTTGTATGTTATTTCCCAATTAGTATAATTTATAGATGCCCAAAATGTTTTGGATTTATTGCCTGTTTGGTATCTCAAGTCTATGTTCATTGTGGTGATTTTCATTATGGGTAGAATGCTAATTTTATCATCAATCTTATATTGCTGCTCTTATAGAAAGAGTCTTTCTGTTGATTGTATAAATGTCACAAGTTTTTGTTAAGATTCATTGATGTTGTTTAATAAGATTTGTAGTTATTTATTTTCTTCTATAATCTATAATTGGGCCTTCGGTTGTGCCTCTATTTATTATAGGGGTGTTCAAATTTTGGATATAGTTGTTTTATTGCTTGATCATATATACTAAATTGCCATAGGCTTTACAAAGTTAATTACCTTTTTTATTTCATTCTTTCATTATATTTTACTGTCTTTCCTTGGGGAGACGGGAGTATAAGTGGAGCTTCTAAGATTCACTATTGGTATTACCTTTAGGATGCCACACAAAAGGAAATTGATTCATTGGTTACACTAGTACATTTAACATGATATGCTGGGATGTCAATGCCTAATGAATCATGTTCAGTGAGTACTGTCGCACCTCCTTTTTCTGCACCCGATAGGGGGTGCAAGGGAGTTTTTTCCAATTAAAGGACAATCGAAACGGGATTGGTTTAATTATTTCAGAGTCGCCACTTGGGAGATTTAGGGTGTCCCAAGTCACCAATTTTAATCCCGA